ATTTCAAATTTTTTCCTTACAACATTTAGCAGAATAAGATTTAGCGAAATAGCATTTATTAATATGTATATTTGCTCCAAAGTTACAGACTATTTCTATTATATTCTGAACCAAATATATTTATATAACATTGTTAGATCTTAGTATTAAGTGGTCGGGCGAAAAAATAAGTTCGTATATATATTATCCCTAACACCCTTTGTAAATGTTGAGATCTTTAATGTACATTCCGCATGTTTTTTATTAACGAACATAAAATTTTGATGTAAAGTGCCTTGCATATTTCTCCTATTTTTCCCCTAACATAAATGCAAGTTAGAGAGAGTATGAATGGAGATTTAAAAAGGTAATTATATAGAAATAAAGTTATTTGTCGCTTTTTATTTTTTCTAGCATGAATACTCATTTATTTACTAAAATTTATAATTTCTTAGTAAATGCAGAAGAGGAGCATATTACTAGCGCTTCCGTCATCTATTAAGAGATTGAAGATGATCTATAGATATCAAAGGATGAGCTGAGGAGTATTATATCTCAGGCAGTAACTCTCACAAATAGTCAAAATATTCGAGGTTCTTTACATTATACAACTCTCCTAGAAATTCTTTCAGAGGTAAGTTGACAACAGCTTTCTATAAAATATTAATTTTAGATGAAGAAGATGCAGACAGCAATGCCACTAAGGAAGAGGGCATAATAGTTTAAGTTCCTTATAGCCTGCCAACAGGATTTTTCTTGACAGCAGAAGGGTTCTTTAAGCTATATATATATGCTTAATTTTGTGTTGATATTTTAGCATCGCACAAGATTTTTGTTTGTGTGATGGAGTAGCTAATCTCATAAAAATGAAATCTTGTTTACAATCTGACAGCGCATGCATCTCTGAAAATAATATTATTTGTATGGGTATAAACTAATTACTTTATGTCTGTGTTAGTTTGACATTTCATATAAAGCTATTTTTAATTTGCGAGCCATTGGAGTTGTAAAAGTAAACGAAGAAGAATCTCTTAGTTTAGATCAAATCAGAAGCAATATAAATAAGTTGAAATCTAAACTTAAAAAAAACACATCAATTCTTTATCAACATTTGTTCTTAGCTGTAAATCGGGTATCTACAGACGAATTAATATAAAAGGTTCCGCTAGATAGTCAAGTTATTGCAAATAAATCAGATATAATAAAGAAGTTACCAAAATAATTATGTGAAAATTTTATGGTAGATATTCATTAAATTAATAAATAAGAAATGTAATTCTAATCCTAATCTGTTATTAGAAACTGACATGAAACATGATGCCTACTACTCTTCTAGGGTTTATACGAAAGAAATGTAATGAATTTATATGAGATTTGCTAATCGTAATACTAATAAATTACCTTGAGCACTTTTACATGATGGAAGGTGGAAGGAATCAAACGAGAAGCTTGCTGAGATCACTGATGGAATCTTGGAAATGCTGTAAGTTATTTTACTATTGTTGGATTGCAATTATAGGTATATTTATCTTAGATGTATTAATTTCATTAGGAATGATTCTTAGAATAATTCAGCATTTAGTCCTGAAGAAGCCGAAGTATTAAATGAAGGAACTTATCTAACAAATTTGATAGTTCTAGCAATTTGAGCTAGTTTGAAAAATCTCTCACATGGAAAATTCACTTATATTAGTATGTAAGTAAAATAATATTTTATAAGACAAACTATTATAAATTTATTTACGCTATTTTTTTTAGGTATGAGCGTCAGAGCATCGCTAGTGCAGATAGAAGAAAACGTTTAGGAAGACACCCTGATATCATATTTGTAATGATGGATAGAGGGAAAAAATATGAACTTATGTATACAGAGTGCTCGTGTCTATTTGTATGGAATAAAAGATAAAAGATGATGCAGTAAAAATATGGCACGAGACTAACGATGAGATATATTAGGTTTATAAAGGTCAGAGGCCTGAAAAGGATGAATTTGGAATAATTGGGTTACAAGTTGCTAGATCTATGTTACGACTAACTGTTCTTATCAGGGATGGAGCTAATGTAGATAGATATTATCATTTACACGAGTCAAAGATTCATGTGCAAAAGTCAGAACCAGCTGTTGTAGTGAAATTTATAGAGACTTTATTAATCTTGTGTAATATTTTGATAGTCAATATGTCCTTACTCCCTTACAGGTCTACACCTAAATCAGATAGACAGAAAGAAGATAGTATGACTGTAGATTCTGAATAAAAAATATTAATTCATATTTGACTTGTAACATGTTTTTTATATTAATAAATTACCCAAGTGCCCTGGTGGTCGATTATTTTTACATAATCATCTGTATTTTTTTTTCTTGATAATTTTCGATGACGGAAAGTGAATTTCCCGTCATGCAAATTTAAATCATATTTTCAAATGGATTAATAACACAACGTTTATAGCAGGTCTATCTATAGATTCTTTTATAATGTACAGAAATCAAGGTACTTTTTCATATAAAAAGAACAGTCCACAGATAAAGGATCTTAGTAATAACCTTCATATAAAAACTGAAAAAATGACAAACGATGTAGCAAGAGTTTATTTTGTAAATAACTAAGGAAATCCAACTCAACCTCCAGCAGATACAGTTTTTACATATTCATCAACTAATAAGATTATACAATCGGTAGTAATCAATGGTGCCATTAGTTATATTATACTTTGGATGTATAGTTATAAAATTAAGGTGGATGATATCAAAATTTTCAGTATCGAAAATTAAAAACAACATGCATTAACAGTCATTGAAACATAATGTATTCTTCTCATTACATCATGTAAAGCGATATATTCACATTTTTTATGTGGTTGCTTTGGCAACGTTTTTATTTCATAAATAAAGTATTATTATTTTATCAAATGTACATAAGAATGGGTCACATTGTAATGATAGGGTCAATTATAAATTAATAATTTTATCTGATTCATTGAAACAATGCATTATCAAGTTGAGAACAATAAAATTAAGGCTGAGAATGCTGGGCTTAAGGCCAGAGTTGCGAAATTGAAAGACAAACTATTGCAAAACAAATTAATAAAAAACTTGTTATCTATATCACGAAAAACATGATCATATATTAATTTGGCAAAATTTCAGCTAGGGCACCCCTGCCAAAATCACGTGAATTTTTTATTCAGTGGATCAGAGTTAATATAATATATTTAATATAGGAAGGCAGAATTAATATTATGCAATTTCGTGATAATAGCATGGTATTGACTTAGTATTTTTTCCAAATTTAATAGTAGAATATACTATTCGACACAGTAATGGCACGGTAATTCTTTTGGATCTATCATAACGTATTTTCGGCAAGGGTGTCCTGACTGAAATTTTAGTCATGGGTTTTTTCAGATCTAGTGTAGAAGTTTCTGCATGATTTAAGCCACACCAATATATAGAGTCATTTGATATGAAATGACTTGGTCCATAATATTATGCTCTTCCTTCCCACGTAGTTGCAAAAATGTGGTTAAGGAAGATATATATAATAGCTTGATCTTGGAGGGTTCTTTTTTACATACTTGAGAAAATAAGAAAGTTTTTGGCAATGTGAACTGATGAATAACTTTGAGTTTTGATTGATAACCGCAAATAATATAATGAAAAATATCATGAATTAGTTGGAAATGGAAAAAGAATTTTTTGGAAGAGAGTCTCTACTAAAATCAACCTTAAGTTTAGGATAAGATATTCAGGCGCACATTGTAAGAAAAAGTTTGAAGGCCTCAAACGTGACTATAAAGTAAGTGGAAATTCTTTCTTCTGTCATTCCATTAGAAAATATATGTCATGGATTATCTAAGTTAAAACTAATTCTTCTCTATTAGATTTAGCATATGAAGGCGTATATTGACGGTAAAGATAATGGAAAGAAGATCAAAAATGGTCTGAAATACTATGAAGAATTTAAATCAGAATTTTAGAAAAAGCCTGGTAGATATTATTAAACCTCTCCTTTAATACTGTATCATTCTGCCTTCAAATATTAGAAAAAGGCAAGGCTAATTTGATATTTTTCTAGCAACTGAATATGATCAGCTTCGCGAGCAGAATATTACAAGAAGATATCAAACTCTATCACCACCATACGAAAAAAATGAAGGTTCTACTTCGCAACCGCAATCACAACAATAGCAACTATTAGGATTACTACAATAAGGAGAAAAATAATTTTAATGCAGAATAAAAGTAATTTACTAGTCGTAGTTGCAGGTTTTTATAGTGTAAAAAACACATTATGTATTGCTAAAAGTTAGATTAATTTTTGTGTAATACAAATACTTGTACAATGCAAATATAACAGCGAAATAAATATATTTTTTATTGTAAAATTCTCAAAATTACTGAATCTATAAAATTCTCAAAATTTTTTATTATCTAAGAAATAACCGGTATACTAACACCATCTTTTCACGTATATTACTTAAAGTAACTTAACCAGCTTTTTCGTTCTATCAAAATAGATATATGGCAACGTCTTACATCACGAAACATCTATTATCATTAGAACAGGCAAGTAGTATCCATCCCGAAGTGGAAGATTTGTTAAATAAGGCGGTTGAAAATTATATTAAGCAAAAAGAGCATCAGAAGATGAAGTCTATTATTAGCAACTGTGAAATTTCGTTAAAGCAAGAAAATGAGGAATTGTGTATATCAAAGCAGGTATTGAAAAAAAAGATTGAAGAGCTTCTCGACTTACAAGAGCAATATAAGTCTCGTGAGGTAACTATGACCAGGTCTTTAGAAGGGAGTAGTGAGAAAGTCACCTAATTATCAAATTCAGTAGCTTTTTTCAAAAGTATAATTTCTGATATGAAAAAAGCTATTGCATCAGCTGAAAAGTCCATTGACCTGTTAGAGAATAAATGCCAACATCTGGAGGATATTATTTCTG